CCATTTGATGCACCCGAAAGGGCTCTATTTAAGTCGCGCACTGCACGAAGCATAGCGGGGACATTCACCAGGCTGTTGAGTTTGGTGAACTCGCCCATCAGTGCCTGGAAATCATCCCCGCCGTTTTCCGCAGCAGTAGGCTGCGACAAGGGTGGACTCGTCGGCGTCGGCAGCAGAGGAGGTCTCTGCTGTTGCTTCTGCTGCGACAACTATTGCTTGCGCCTTTCCCATACATTCACCGTAGAAAGGGGAGCTGGAACAAAGTGCTGCTTAGTATGTTGGGATGCAGTGGCTACGGGTGCGGCTGCCGAGATCTTTTGGAGCCGGAAAAGATAGCTCGGGCATTCTACCGAGCCGGATGAGCGGCCTGGCAATTTGCGCACTTGCACTTGCAGCTTTGTAGCCTAACCCACTGCGCCATCCTCGGACCCATTTTTTACGTGTTGATGATGATGATCTATAAATATAGGCAAAATTTAGGAAGGCTAACTTTTTATTATCAAATTATTATCAAATTATAATGTTATATATGTTTTTTTAATGTTTAAGGATGAATTGCTTAATTTTTAAATTAATAAACAGGTAATTTAAACCTATAAAAATTAATAGGCAAAACTATGGCACGCCGTTTTATCATTTAATCGAACAACTTTAAAATAACCAAAAAATTCAACAAACTTGTAAATTTGCGTTATTTCATTGAATGAAATTCATGCTAGCTGCAAAAGTAATTTCAATGTATGAAATCCGCTGTATTTCAATATTTAAATTAAACTAACCACTAATTTTAATGTTTGAAATGAACAGCGTCAGTTTCAATCAATAGAATTTAGAGAGTTATTTTACGAATGGAATGCACAATTACAATGATTGGAAATAACCATTTCAAATTTTAATAAATTAAAAATAAAAATTGTGCATTGAAATTGTGCAATCCATTCAATGACATTCGGAATTGCATTTAAAAAAATTTCCATTCAATGAAATTATGAATTTCATCCAATGAAATTATTAATTTCATTGAATGAAATGCACAATTTCATTGAATGGAATTCATAATTTCATTGAATAAAATTCATAATTTTATTGAATGAAATTCATAATTTCATTGAATGAAATTCATAATTTCATTAAATGAAATTCATAATTTCATTGAATGGAATGCACAATTCCATTGAATGAATTGCTCAATTTTTATAAATGAAATTCAACTTGCTTATTTTGAATGAATGAAATACGCAAACACAAACTTTATTTTTTATTTATTAAAATATGTAATATTACACATATGTGTAATTCCAATCAGTGTAATTGTGCATTCCATTCAGTGAAATAACGTAAATGAATTCTATTAATTGAATTTGGCGCTGTTCATTTCAAACATTAAAATTAGTGGATAATTTTATTTACCAATCAGTTTAATTCAAACATTGAAACACAACGAATTTCATACCGAAATTACTTTTCCATATACCATGAATTTCAAACAATGAAATAACGCGACTTTACAAGTTTGTTGAATTTTTTGGTTACTTTAAAGTTGTTCGATTAAATGATAAAACTAATTAACATATTTTAGAAGAATACTTGGTGCACCCTGTAAAAGGCGTACAGTTTCTTAATAATACGATAGATGGCGTTATTCATACAAAATTAAAGAAATTTAAAAATTAATGATAGCATGCACAAAACTTAAAAACAAAGTTTAAAATTTTTTTGAACACTTACCTACTCTGTCCGGAATAAAAAGGTAAACTTTTAGTATCGAAAACTCCATGATATTCAGATAGGAAACTTACATTGCAAGTCGGCATTGGTTAATATTAAGATGAAGACTTGAAACCTGGATAATAATATTAATATATACCTAAACAATGTTTAATTTATTTTGATGCCCAGAGAGCATACAATTTTAAAAAATTTCAAAATACGGACCATTGTTCGCCGTCCATATATCTTGGGATTTAATAGCTGGTTTATCATTCCCGGTTCGGAGATTTTTTCGAAATTTTTTACGTAATTTCTTTAGTGGCATGTCTTTATAGGTATTTTTCTAGTTTTATTTCTTCTTAAATAATCGTCATGCTTTTATTTTAAATAAATTTACTAAATATATTACAGTGGTTTAAAAACTCCATTTAGGTATTGTTTTTAATTTTATGTACCTACCTACCCATTGGCGGCTGGTGGATTTTGGGTACACCGATATCTCAGTTATGAGACATGGGACCCATACCAAATTTATATGAGTTTATAAAGACATTTTTTAGATAAGTTCTGCGCAAGCAGAATTTAAATTGAAGTTTGCGAGAAAAAGTTAGTTTTTAAGTGTGCACCCCCAGCATCCTGTCCCCCAAATTAAGATAATTTAAATTAAAGTGGTAAAATATTTAATTCACTGCATTTTCAAGTATTACAGGTTTTATACCATTTTAAATTTTAATTAATTCTATTTCTAAATTAAAAAAAAATAGAAATGGTATAAAATCTGTAATACTTGGACTTTTTAAATAAATTTTGAAATTTTTTGATAAACTGAACTGAATTATAAATTGCACCATTTTAATTCGAATTATCTTAATTTGGGGGGGCATTTTTCGCAAACTTCAATTTAAATTCTGCTTGCGCAGAACTTGTCTATACAATGTCATTATAAACTCATAAAAATTTGATGTGGGTCCCATGTCTTATAACTGAGATATGGGTGTGCCCTAAATCCACCAGCCGCCACTGTACCTACCTAATTTTTTGGTCCCAAAGTATAAATAATATATAATACAAACCATTTACTTAAAAATACATTTAACTTATTTTCTGAGATTACTAGTCTTGTAAAATACATCGAAATACATAACATATATAACCCAGTCAAATAAATCACCTTTATCATATCAAGCGTTGAGGTCGCGGTAAAACCGCATTTCCTTATCGCACTGGTACTCATATACCGACTTAAGTTGTAAAAAAGAGAATACAAAAATGAAGACATTATTTTTTTAATCTATGGGGGTTTTGAATTCGTATGTTATTTAATAAATATTAGGTAGGTATATTTTCTAGTAAAGTTGTCATTTTTAGTAAAAATATCAAAAAATATATATTTTGCTAAAATAAAAACAAAATACAAATAATTAAGAAATGTAAATGTCTTTTAAAATTGGTATGATTTCTAAATTTATAGACGTAATAACAATAATTATTATCTGCCACGTTCATAACAAAAATAAATTAATAAATAAAGTTTTTATTGCAAATTAAGGACAATACAGAACATAAAATAAAAAATATACACTTTTTTTAAATGATATATATTTTTTGGGAAATTTATTGGTTAAGAATATCGTGGTTTCTGGGCTTAAAACTAAATTATGTTGTTTTAAAACCAACTTACACTCTTAATAAAGTAGGTATTGCAGAGCCGAAACAAATGATAGTCTGATTGTACAGGATTCGGGCTATGCAGGCAATGGGTTGAAACTTCCCAATCAAGCTCTCTCAATTTTTAAGATAAACATATTGAAATTTGTGGTCGAATGTTTAGTTCCTCAGCAATGTGAAAGCTGCTTGATCCGTTATTGTAATTTTCGTATGCGCTTAAAAAGTATGGATTTTTTGTACATTATTTTTACTCATATATATGATGGTATCATGATATTTGATGGTATTTGTTCACTAAATATTCCCAGGAAAAAATAAAAATATATAATTATTTATATTCATATAATTATATATATTATATTATTATATTTAAATGAAAAAAAATGGTCAGGTATGTTTAAATTTATATGAACTTTTTTTATTTAAATCATTTTACTAACAAATAATCCTTGAGTAGTAAGGGTTTGAAAATTTCATTTCTTTTTCTTTATTTTAATTTTTTTAATATTTATTTATATGAAAGGATTGAACTCTAATTTCGTTATAAAAATAAGTTAAAAATTGTTAATTGACAAGGTGCTCGTCTCCCTAATATAACAAAGTTGTATGTTAAAAAACCGACGATTCACCCTTGAGAAAATAACTATATATGTAGAATTATTTTTTAGTAGTATGTGAAGCGTGGGTCACGTATAATTCTGTAAAACATAAACTTAATTTATTAACATACAACCTTTTTATATTAGGGAGACGAGCAGAAGTCAACTATGTTAGGTAATAATAATAACAATAACACACTATGCAAGTAATTGTCCAAAACTAACACAAAATATTGAAGATGTCCGTTTTTAAAGCTGTAGTGTCCGTACTGGATTTTGTCTTTGTCAACAACCCGGTAATAATAACAAAATTACAATAATTAATAACAATATTATCAATAATAACATAATAGTTATTTACGATATAAGTGGGATAAGAGCTTTATTAACGTACGCATGCGAAATGCAAAAGTACGTCAATAAAGCCTTATCACACGTATATTGTACAAATTTTTATCTACGCCTCTAAATGAAAAAATAAACGGTAATTATTTTTGTCTAAGACTTAATTTAGGGTTATTTTGACATTTTGACTTTTTTATTTGATTGGTTAAAAGCAGAGAAAAACGCGTGCGTTAATGAACTTCTTATCTCACTCAAAATGAGTGGATAAGAAGTTCTTATTTCACTGGCGTAGATAAAGTATAGTAACAACAATATCCAACAAGAGAAACCTCATAAAAGCCGCGAAGTCAAGTAAACAAACAACCGAAATGACAATAAAGACCGCGCTGTCCACCTATACGTTTAGAGTGGGGCTTATTTGCACAGTAACAAATATTTGTTGGCTAACCGAGTGTTAAAGTAAAAAAAAATACCTAGAAACAATTGTCCCTGCAGACGTAACTACATATTGGTAACCACGTATAGCTATATTTGATTAATGCATTCATATATGGCCAAAAAACTAATTTCCATAAAGGAAAATTTGTGTTATTTTAACCCATAAGAACATTTGTATTGTAAATTTTACTCCACACAATTTCTTAAAACGGCTTGTTAACATTTTTATTTTTTTTACAGAAATCCCGGTAGTCCAAATGATGGCTACAGAAGAAGATTCCGACGATTACACTGGAGAAGATCCTGACTCATCTGCGGCGGGAGGTAAGTAAGTGCGACATTAACCTTGTTTTGTAACTCGCGTCTTGTTATTTTTTATTGTCCCTCGGTCATGATTTACTTTTATGTCGTCTTGCCGACAACCTTTAAGGTTTTTCTTGGACATTATATAAAACCCGATGATTTTATTTGATTTTAATTTTGTGGTGAATTTCTTAAAACTGTTAAATTGTACTCGTATTTTTTGCTGAAAATTTATATTATTAAATGTAAGGGACTTATAATAATCTAATTCTTTTCAAAAGTAAAATTATAAAAGTTTTAAAAGTAACTTTCAAACTTTCCTTAGACCCTAGAATATTGAAGATCGTAATCAAATGGAATTGATTCAATTATAAGTTTTAAAGTCTTTATGTTATATTACATTGGTGAAAAGTTTTTCCTGTCCATATCTGTTTGATAAAATTGAACTAATTGATTATATATAATGTATTCAGTCATCTGAAATATTGTAATAAAAAAACTTCTTCCCATCTCTTTATATATTTTTTATAGTAGGGGAGACCGGGGCGGAATGGGGACTCAAACGTTTAAAAAATATTTTTAGTAGGGTAGAGACGTGGTACAAATCCAAAAACAAGCAGATTATAAACAAAATACAAAAAAAAAAAACAAATGTTTAACAATTTTTTTTATTATCGTATTAAAAAAAGTGTCTTTTTCTCCATTCCGCCCCGCCTACGGGGTAGAATGGGGTTATCGGGCTTACACAATTCACAGACAAGTTCTGCATCGTCGTCATCACTCTCTATCCCCGCACACGAATTGTGAGCCCACTTTAGGCACTGTGTGCATAAAATACAACCCCTTAAATGAAGCTGAAAATACATATATATCGAATTCACAATTCACAGACAAGTTCTGTATCGTCATCATCACTCTCTATCCCCGCACACGAATTGTAAGCCTACTTTAGGCACTGTGTGCATAAAATACAACCCTCAAATGAAGCTGAAAATGGGTATATACAATGTATATACCCATTTTCAGCTTATCGAATATATATCGAAAAGTTATAAAACTAAACACAATTTCACCACGTTTAGTCTAAAATTAGTGTGTTTGTAGTAACCCGTTTGTAATTACCAACTCACGTGTTGGCCTTTTAGTAAATGATAACAAAGGATAATAGTACTATCGATCGTCTGCAGCGGGAAATTTAAATAAAACTCCGTTCTGCCCCGGTACCCCCGTTCTACCCCAATCTTCCCTACGTATTAGAAATAGAACATTTTTAGAATTTGCATATTTGCAGCTTGTCCGTTGCTTTTTTCGCATTGTTTGGGCCTCATTTAAATAAAATATTTATAATATATAATATATTAGGTTGGTCCGAGAGGTAAACCACTGATTGTTTTTAAATTAAAAATCGCTTACGAATTAACGGCTAAGGATAACAATAACAAGGGTAGTCATGCGCAACGCGTCGCACTATGGTTTATTGGCGGCAAAAATACATTTTTAAAAACTTTTTATTTTTGGAACAAAAGAAGTATTTTTTGGATTGTGCTGAACGTTTTAAAAGGCATAAGGTTAAACTTTTATGAGAATCCGTTGAATTAGACCTTTTATCCCCGAAAATTTGGCTTTGATAACGCAAAATGAAGCATTTAGAAATGCTTTTGGACATGATATTTTACCACCTTAATATAAGGTTCTTATAGCCAAAAAATTGTGCTACCCAGATAAAATGGTAATAATGGTAATAAGTAAAAGTGCCCGTGTATCCATAGATTTGCAAAATCTTGTAGATAATACCGCAAAGCGAATTTTGGAAGATATCGATGTAGAAGATAATACATAGTCACTTTTATTTAGTAAGTGGGGATTTGATGGTGCTTCCGGGCAATCTAAATACAATAAAAAATATGTACAAGGTGATAATAGGGAAACATCAGATAGTAGCATCTACATGGTATACCATGGTGCCTTTACTACTTAGAACTGGCTTTGACTCAACAATTTGGAACAATGATTTGCCTTCATCTACGAGATGGTGCCGCCCTATCTATTTTGAATTTGTAAAAGAGTCTCCTGAAAAAGTTTTGGATGTTTACAACAAAATAACTAAGACTATTTCCCTCGTCTTAATTTCCACCAATTACAAACGCGCAATTTTGAATTACAAATGGTTTCTAGGGGAAAAAACTGTGTGACAGCACCTGTCAGCAGTTTTTCGAGTTTACCCGCGGCAAAACTTGACAGCTGTTGTCACCAAAAATTGCAATTTATATTTTAATTGTTAACTGTTACTCATGAAATAGTCTTGTCAAATACCATTCGGGCATCTAATTTTACCTGTGAAAAAAATCGAAAAAACACAAAGCTAAGTAATATTTTTTAACAAAATGCATTCGTGCAGGTGCAAAAATCCTCCTCTTCGACTCGGATTTTTGTTGCCACCAGCACTTATGCTTCTTGTTAAAATATTACATAGCAACGTGTTTTTTCGATTTTTTTCGGAAAAATTAGATGCCCTTATGATATTACTTACGAAATTCTCCCAGCTAAAAAAAAACAGAAGTACCTAACAATATCCGGAAAAAGTTGCTCTGTTAAACACGACAAGAAATTTACCATAATTGATGGAAAGACAGCACAAATCATAAAAAAACTCCTTCTGATTCTACATTTTTTATATGTAAAGCAAATCCGACAGAAAATGTACAATTTACAAAATGTTGTCCATAAGCCAACAAATAAAGAAGCTCTTCAGTTTGGATTATCTCCTTTACATGCCCGCATTAAGTTTATGGAATGTATATTACACATTGCCTACAATTTAACATTTAAAAATGAAGTGCCACAAAAGATCTGCAGGAAATTAAGGAATCTGAAAAAAATAAATCAACAGGAATTTAGATCAACAATAGGTTTAATAATAGACGGCTCAGGTAATTCCAACTCTGGAAACACACCAAGAAGATTTTTTCAAAATCCAACCTTAGTTGCAGAGATAACTTAATAGATAGGTTTCAAACCATTCTGCAAGATATCACTACACAAAGCAAAGTTGTTTGTGGAACTGTATTCAAGGTACTACATGCCTGTAACAGTTTATAAAATATTAGTACATGGAAAGGAGGTGATCGAAAATATATCTTTACCAATCCGGGTCCTTTCAGAGGAGGCACACGAATGCCAAAATAAAGATTTCAAAAAATGTAGGTACATATTTTCATGAAAAACAAACAGGACAGCAACAAATGAAGATATTTTACAATATCATCTGATCCTGTTATAACATTTGCAAGGAAAAAAATATCATGTATAAAATACGAACTTCGAGATGAAGTTAATATAATTTATTTAGTTTTTTTGTATTTTTTAAAACAACTAAAAGTAGTGTTTTTACAATATAACATATTGTTATCATATATCTATATTAATAATATTATGGTAATAAAAAATAAAATTATTTCCGCCAAAAAGTTATAAAACCCACGTTAAAAAATTAAAAGTTTGTATTTTTTGGATTTATGTTATTAAATAAATCATACCTATCACAGGTAAATAAAATAAAATAAATATTGTGTCCTTATAAAATTATTTCCGCGAAACGGTGTGTTTTTATAATATAAAAATGCGATAAAAAATAAAAGCCCTAAGTTTTTGATGTAAAAACATGCTTACTTATAGGTATTTTATACTATTTAAGACATTATAAAAGAAAAAAATATTATTTATTTGTAATAAAAAAGTTATTGAATTTTTGCCGCAAAACGGCATTTTTTGACCATAGTGCGTCGCTAAGAGAAATTTCTTATCGATCGAAGCAGTTTTTCTTATTGATAATGACTGATAAGGAAAAAATCACAACACAACGTCCACATAACGTTGAACGTTGGTCTCTAAGATTTTAAAGTGTTTTGCCCCTCGGGTTTGTCCTACTATTGATATCTAAGGGGTTTAACTATTTTATAAATCTTGTATACCACTATGTTTAGCAAAACGGTTCCTTCTGGGTTTTACTTTATCCGCACTGTATACAATTTTTGAAATCCACATTAGCCACTTTTTTAGTAATATGTGTAATACATAAATTATACATCTACATACACATTGTGTATGTAGATTAGGGTGTCCCTTATTTTTATTTTTTTTACGCATACCCTCTAATTATATTTATTACTTGTTTATATACTCCCAGTAAAAATTTCAGCTCATTCTATAAACGGGAACTCGTGCCGACTTGCATCTGAACCCTTCGTTAGCCAACGTTAGGCGCGCGGTATTTTGTAACACCCCAGATAACAATTATGACATCATTTAAGACATCAACGTGAAATCATTGCTGATTCATTCAGTGATGTCACTGAGGTACGCATATGTGTTCCCCTTTTGATGAGCAACATGACATCCTTAATGAGTCACACGATGAATTCGTTGTGACATCAACGTGAAATCATTGCTGATTCATTTAGTGATGTCACTGTGGCACGCATAAGTGTTGCACTTTTGATGAGCAACGTGAGATCCTTAATGAGTCACACGATGAATTCATTATGAAATCAAAGGGATTTCATTAATGATTTTACTTAAGGGACTAAAAATGCTAAAATTAATTAAAATAAATATTTATTTTCTTAAATAAAATATAAAATATTTAAAACATGTTTTTAATAAAATTTAAAAAAGTAACTTGCATCTGATTATAATTTTTATACATGTATAATTTGAAATCTCATTTTGTGCTTAATCAAGCATAATTTAAATAAAAATTCGGCCTTAATTTTTACAGCATGCAAAAATTACAAAACTTGGTTAAAAAGTAAAAATTGTATTGTGTCTAAATAATGTAATAATATGCTAACCTACAGTACAGTACATTATTAATAATAAAGCAATCAAACAAAACCAGTAAAATTAATAATAATACTTTTTTTTTAAGTGGGTGGGTATGTAGATAGTGATTTAAAACTTTTTAAAAAGTTTTTGTAAAATCATTTTTTATATTTATATTAAAAAATGGTCTTTCTAAAGAT